GATGGAGCCTGGCCTGCAAGAACAGAATTGGACATCTTTCAGCCTGGGGGGATATTACAGACCGAAAGCGATGGCTCTCTGTTAGTGTTTTGCCAGATTTAGAGCTGGGATTGCAGCTGTTAGTCCCACTGCAGACAGAATTTGTCCTTTAGCAGAATCCTCTAGGCAAGAACCATGTTCCCAGGTTTCTTCCTGCCCTTGAGGAGCAAGGGATCCTGTTGGGAATGTCCGCTGTCCAGGCATAACCCAGTTTGTGACTATCTTGCCTTTTAGTCTTATCATGCAAGAGTGGCATTACAGGTATTTTTTTGTTAGCAGAATGTCTCTCTGAACAGCTTTTTTATGTTACACTGAGGTTTTCTAAATATGGAGGACAAAAGTTGTATTAATTTTTAGAAAACAGAGTAGTGTGTGACATTCTTAAAGAGAAAGAAAAGAAAAATAAACATTTTTGTAGGAGTTTTCAAGCACCTCTGTGGCTGCTTTTATGGATAATACTTAACAGAAAAAATTTTGTAAGCCTAAGCTCCTCCATCACAATTAACAAGGTAAACTCTAGAGAAAATTGGAATTATGATTATGCCTGGGAAAAGCCTGTGAAATGTCAGCTCATCCAGACCCCATTAGCACATCCTTGACTGTGCATTTCATAGGAAAAACTCATTTTGCATTTGGCTGTTTCTTCCTGCCACTGAATTTTGGACTGTATCACTGCACCTCGAAATAGTCTGTTCTCTCTGTGCTCTTTGTATTTGCTTCATATGACTTTTTAATTTAGTGAAACAAACGACCGGGGAATGCTTCATCTTCTAACAAAATGGTAAAAAGGCACTAACTCTTTATTTCCAAATCTTTTTATATCTGTTTGTTTGTTTGAAAGTTGTTTATGTAGGCATTAGTGTAGATACTTCATAAACAGGGGATACTTTAAAAACTTAATGTTAAAATTAGCAGTTTTAATTGCTTTTTCCTTTGCTTTGGGTTTTGTTTAAGCCTGGGTCGGGATGCGAGTCTGCTTTGGGTTCTGACATGCATCGACTAAAAACATTTCTTCATCAAACCCAGTTAATATTGCCTTAGAAATTTTAAAATATTATTTTTAAAATACTGCATTACAGTTTACTAATGCATATTCAGATTTACAGAGTTTTACTGTTGATCTTTGCCATTTTTCCTGTTTCATTTTCCTTGTGCATTTGACCTCATAATAATGTAAAAATAAATACTATGAAAGCTATTTAAACCCTTAAGTTATAGGGCTGTAAAAAAATAAGTTGCTTGCATAAGCATAATTATTGTGATTTTTATAATACAAACAGCTAGTAGTAATGACCTCCATCGTCCTGTGCATCTGTGACAAGGTAAAGAAGAAAAAAAAAATCTATGAACCACACTGCAGATTTGAGTGAAGTGGTCTTGAAGTGAAAATATCTGTCACTTTACATAAATTAAAACATGTTTTTAGTAAAGGAAAAGCAAAAGACTGAATCGTACAGTCTTAACTGATGCAGCCTTACCTTGTCCAAAATTAGCCAGGAGACGGCAGCATAATAAAAAATAAATCCCGGGTCTCCTTGTCCTTCAGCAGGAGTCGGTGTCCCTCATCCTGCGGCTCGTGGAGATCCCTCGGCGAGGGGGTTAAACATTAACGGGGACTGTTTTCATTTCAACTTCCATCTGACTCCCCGCAATGTTTAGCATATTTATCCTGCAGCAACGCTCCCTGCCCTCAGAGGCGTCCTTCGCTTCGCAGAAAGGAGAGAAAACTTCCCATTCTTGTTGCAATCAGCCGTGCGGGTCCGGGGAGGACATTGCTGACGATTCTGGAGAATCGCTTTGCCCCAGAGCCTTTCACCTCCCCACCTCACTGAGCATGTGGATGGAGAGCTGGGAACCAGCCTCCTCCTCCGCCTCCCCCAAGTCCTTAACTCTTTGCCTGCTGAAACTTTCCAGTTTGTAGCAAATAACTGCAGCTGGGAACTGCCTCTGGGCATTTAAACTGGAAGCGTAAATGAAAGGTCTCCTCCGTCACAAACTGAATGTTTGCTGTTACTGCCTTTATAAAGGTTCTTACGGTTTTAATAAGTGATGAGTTAGCGGCTTGGATTTACTGGAATTAGGAGGCTTTGGGGTTCTAGAAACGAGTGAGAAGGATGGTGTGTTTTTGACTTGTTTTGATAAAAATAGCACGCTGGTCAGAAATAAATAGGAAACCTCAAAGTAAATTAAGGCACAGTATGACAGGTACAAAGTAATCATTGACTTAAGCTTTGTAAATAGAGGCTTTGGCTTGGACTGTTTTTGTAGTTGATGCTGCAACTCCTGAGTGAAAGTTCCTGTTCTGTGAATTATTTTGTAGGAGACTTTCCACTCGTCCCAAGTTGTCCTTTACTCTCTGACCTGTTGTTTGTCTGGGTGGGACAGCAGTGTCGAAAGTCATGTTCAACAAATCTTACACTACTGATCTTTTAATGGAAAACTCTGGAAAACTATGTCTCTTAGAACATGTTTTAGTTAACTGTGACAAGAGACAGTAATCTTTAATGCATCAGTTTGTGTGACTGGGAAATGAACAGTGATATGATCTGTGGATGTTCAGTCTCTGTGTTTGTTCAGTCCTCAAAGCTGCCCTGTTTAATGAGTAATTTTGCTATTTCGTTTTCTAGTTAAACAGATTATATTTATACCAAAGCTAATCTATCTGTTACAGCTCATAATACCTTTACTGTTCTTATTATTTCAAATTTTGGGGGATGGATTTGGTTTGGTTTTTTGGGGAATTGATTTGTGTGGTGTATGTATGTTTGGATGTACACATGGGCTATATAGGGTGCATAAATTTATGAGTATCAGACTTTGAAGACTGATCATATCTGCACCCCCTTAAATAATTCCTTAATGCAATGGTGTTAAACCATTTATAAATGAAAAGTTCTCAACATGATTCTGTAATTGAACCCCACAAGGGCTTTTAGACCAAAATCATGCTGCTTTTGCAGCATCTCCTTCCTCCTTAACATCCCACTCTTCAATTACAGATTAAATCTTGGCTTTGGATCTGCAAACTGCTCCTCTAAGGCTGTGTCCATTGCAGAACAGTTTACATGTTCAGTCTGATTTAGGAATGTTTTCTATTCAAGGTGCTAAGAACTACAGCAAACACCTTTTTATGTATTTAAAGTCCCAAGATATACAAGGTACAGCAGGGGAGAACCTGTGATATCATAAAACAAACCTCTGCCCCACAAGACCTTAATTAATCCAAAGGAACTGTCCTTCTGGATTTGCAAAACTGAAATTTCTTTCTGCTTTTTGTCTCATTATCAAAATGTCAGGATAAAAAAATCTTTCCTTTTTTGGCATGAAGGGATAGTGAGCTTTTTACAAAATCAGAATTAAAGCTTTACATCCAACAGAACTGACATTTGATGCCCTGTATGATGCAACAGCAAATAGTCCCTACAGGATTTAGTGAAATCCTGGAAGGTGAAGATGATTCTGTGCCTACAACTTGCTGTACTTAAAGTATATTTGGAAGGGGATGGTCTCTGTGATATAATCCAACTGTCACCATGGCAAAAAATACCTGTTTCAGGGAATGGAAAGAAAACACTGTCTATATTTCCCTGTTTCTTGTAAATACTTTTCATTTTTGAACAATTCCACCTGTGTTTTCCAGATGGGAACCTGGATTCGCTTGCTCTTTCAAAATGCAACATTTATTGAAATTAGAGTCCTAATGACAGAATATTATGACAGGTTTTTAAATCCTGTATGAGGAACACCCCACCAAAAAAATGAATGTGTGGGGCTTCTTTAGAATCAAATCAGCTGCCAGTTGCTCCTGCCCCAGTGTGAAGACTGTCTTGATTTTGTAGACATCTCCCTCACAAGTGTCTTGAGGTCATTCCAGGCTGGTGTTTCTAACACTAGCTCATTGAGTAGGAATGGAAAAATATGGGCTACTCACCCATTTCTTGTGTGTGACTTACTATTCTGCCTGATTTACTTACTGTGCCTCTCTCTAACCCTTGTTTCTCCTTCATAATCTCTGACCACTTGTGTACAGGTTCAGTCTGTAAACTGTGCTCAGCACTTGAGCACACTGTGGACAAAGTACTGCCCGTATGTCCTTTCATTTGTTTAATTCCTCCTGCAAATACATGAGTAACCTTTCTAAACCTTTGTTCAGAAAACAGAAGAGTAATGACAGAGGCAGGATTATAAACTAATCTTGCAGATTAACAGAAAGCTTCTGGATTTAACAAAATAACAAAAAAAAAAAAAAAAACAACCAAACAAAAAAGCCACCAAAACAAAGTAAAGGGAAATTGAGATCTTAGAAAAGAAAACATCACAGTCAAATGTGCTGGTGCACCAAAGTGATTGAAAATGTGCACAGTGAAACATCTGTGTCTTCAACCATGAAACAAATATGGAATTACATGAAGCACATTGCATCCATTATCCAGATTAATTTCTGAAAGTACTTTGAAACTTGGGAGTATTTGATAATTCAGATGAAGGACAGCGAGACACCAAGGCAAGGTGAATGAATTATTCTGGGTTTACGACCTCTTTTTATCCCTATAGTAATAGACTAATACTGATAATATTGTTTTTGTTGTTGTTGCTGTTGATATTGTTTTTTGTTTAAATCAAAAACTCCCAGTTCCCTGGTGCTGTCAGTTCTACATGTAGAGGAATAACACTAACTACTTTGTCTAAGTACATTTATGTCAGTAAAACAACGCATGAACAGAAAATACCCTATGTGACCCTTTTTAATGAAAAATAAAAAAAAAATTAGTTAGGAGTGCTGTTTATAAGAGACAGAGAAATAAATACACAATTTCTGTTGCCATTTGAAATGAAAAGATGTATTAGACTGTATTAAAAGAGACAGAACACGGTATTAATTTTAACAAGATTCACTAGCATAAAAATCTGGAAAGCAACACTAATTTTGCTCTTTTTTTGTTTTGGTTTTTTCCACAAAGTGTGGTGTTCCCTTCCAAGAGGAAGATGTGATTATCCTTAATGGTAACAAGGAAGATGTGGAAGTGTTGAAGAAAAGGATGGAGGACAGAAGACTTAAGAGTAAATTAGAAAAGGTAATATTTTCATATATTATTTAATATGAAATTGAAAAAACTCTCATCTGTGGTGCAATCCGCTCTTAAATTTGCTAATCTTTATGCAGATGGAAGACTTTACACAGTGAGCTGTGTTGTATTTAAGCACTACTTTAAAAACTAATAGAGTTGTGCATGTGTTTTGCCAATGACATACTGAAGTTGTATGCACTGAAAGTTTCTTCTGACCAGCAGGCAGTGCCCAGTGCTCTGGAAATCACTGAATTCAGTGCTGTGGGTAACATGGACAACGTGCCAGCCATACTTCAGCGTTTTCTTGACATTAATTAATTCTAATAATGATCTGCATCATCCCTGTATTTCATATGGTAGTTCCTGGTGACAGGAACAGTTTTTTAATCTCCAAGTCTTCTGTATTGGCCACAAAAAGACAATATTTGGATCTGTACATTCCTGGTGTGATGCTGTAGGACCACAGTATGGAAATTTTGTCACGTTTTGTGGTTCTCACAGTCCTCAGCAATGCTCATTCTCTCCATACTGTTGAGATCTTTGCAGTTTTTATCTGACCAGGTCAAATACAGTGGAAATAAAGTCATTGCAGCTCTATGTACACTCTACTGTGTAACTACTCCTCTGTGGAGTATTAGTAGTTCTGTGGTACTGAGCAGGCCAATGACAGTTCTGCAATGGGAATTTTTTCAGCCTTGCTGTTTTTTCCTGACCTGCCGTTGCTGTTGTGGAGGATGACAAAGCGAACAAAACCTTCAGTGCTGACTCAGGCCATGTGCAGACAGACTTAGCTGAATCTCAAGAACATGAATCATTGTCTGACACTTGCAGCAACTGAGGCTTTAGGTGGAGGTTGATCATCTCACCCCTGTTACTGCCCTAGATTGTGTCTGCTGTAGATTACGTGGCATGCAAATATTTTCCTAGTTTGTTTTAAAACAAATACTTGTTTACTTGCCAGTGAGCATATGATTCTTTCTCATCATAAGACCTTTATTCATCTGTGCCAGGACAGGATCCTTTGGCCTGGGCAATACATCAAAAGGCTGGTTATCCATAGAAATCCTCCTCTTCTGTTTCCACTCTTTCATAGCCCCTACATGTCAAGTCCTATAGCTTCTGGCATAAGAGCAAAAATCTCATGATGTGTCTTCAGATGGTTTTTCTTTTTTTTTTTTCCCCTCAGTACTTAGTACTTAAGTGTTTTTTTGAAAAGTGCAGATAATTTGATGATAGACTATTGCAGATCTCAGCAGATGAGGGCTCAGCCCCAAAAGCAGTGATTGCTTGCACTTGATTTTCTTTAAGAAGATGGTCTAAGCACCTATAGCTTTGGGCCAGATAATTTGGAATAGTCTGAAAGCTGGTGCTGTCCCCAACTTCTGCACAGCGAAGAGGTACCTGAGTGTGCTGAGCAGTCCTGGCTCTTACAGTGACAGCACAGTCACTGTGGTGGCAGCCAAAAGGACACCATGCCTTGGTCCTGGGGCTCTCTGTGCCTTGGGTGAATATGCAAATGGTATTTGTTTGTTCTGTGGAGATTAACATTACAGGCAGGGACAGGATTTGCCAATCTCTCAGCATTTCATCCTCAAGTTCTGATGTTGCTGTCCCAGCTGGTCTCTGCAGCTCAGACCAGTCTCTGTCACTGGCACCATTGGCTGTGATCTGAGACGTGGGAGCTCCAGTCCCAGTAGCAGAGGACAATTTCCAGTTTGTTGGCACAGATTTCTTCCTCAGTTACTGCAGAGCAGGCTAAGTGGGCCCACTGCATGTAGAGCAGGAAGCACAAGCTCCTTTTCTTTATCCCCATGAGACAAAACATCAGGAAGATGCACCAGCACTAGTATAAAAAAGTATTCAAGCTCAACTATGCCACATGTGCCCACAATGAAATGTATCTGTACTTTATATTATGCATAAAGAATATATGCATTCATACATTTACAAACATCTCTTGGTTCAGATGCCAGATACTGGGAGGTAACTTTTCTTTGTAAATCCACCCATAACAAAAAGGTGGAAGCATCTGCACAGAGGTTTTTCAGATACCCTGAGGAACAGCATTGGCCAGGGCTTGGAGCAACCTGGTCTGGTGGAAGGTGTCCCTGCCCATGGCAGGGGGTGGAACGAGATGAGCTTTAAGGTCCTTTCCATTCCAAACCATTCCATGATTCTGTGACACCAGGAGAGCCAAGTTTGCTTTCAGAGCCATAACCCTCTGCCACCACCTCCTGGCTCAGCTTTGCAGCAGCATTTGCAGTGACATTTTTTCCCTCAAGCATCCTTTGCTTCACAGTGTGGGTTCTTCTAGTTTTTATAACAGAATTAAATAGATTTATTTCCGTTGAGTTTGTGCAGCTGTCTTGAAACATGTACACCATTCTGAATGTATCCAGCCATCTTTTGTGATAACAGTGCTAAGGACTGTTTTAATGCATCTTTTTTTTTCAGCTTAGCATTTATGTAATCAAAGCCAGTAGTGGGATTCTTATTGCTGTAGTTTGGGGGTTTCTGTGGTTTTTAACCTGGAAAAACATAAATTAATTTGGAAAATCTGCTGCAGAGATGCTTTTAAAAAATTTAGATCAACTATTTGCATCTTTTCTTCCCAAGCACTCGTGCAACAAAGGACCCTGTTGTTGAAGGTTATCCAGGAGGGATTTTTTCTCAGCTAAATAAAATTAAGTGGATATGACATGCAGGATTCTTATGGAATTTTATAGAAAATATATTGATTACAGTTAACTGTGTCCTGTTTAATGTTGTGCAATTTACTGTCCTGCTGTATGGGTTCAGAGTATCAGATAATCTTAATGATAATAACACACACCCCTGCAAAGTATGAAAACCAAAATACCAAATCCAGGCAAAACCAGTTTGGGCCTACAGAGTTTTCTTTAATGTAACTCCAGGGTTCCCAAGATTATTCTTTATTCCATGTAGAAATAATACAAAAAATGTGGAAGGAAGAGTTCCACTGTGTAAGATATAAAAATGTACTAAATGAAATTGTGTTTCTAACAAATACAAGTTGGGAATTGTAGATGCTTTCAGGATGTTACCAGGACTCTGCTTGTGTTGTTTCAGAAATCAAAGAAATGCAAGTCAGCAGGATCAGCTTCTCAGCAAGAGGCCACTGAAGGTAAAATCACAGCTCCAAATTCTGTGTCACTTTCTGAGTCAGGAAGCAGATTCATAATTTCATTTTTTTTTGTTCTTTCCTTTTTTTTTTTTTTTATTTTAAGATGCTCCAGGTCCCTCAAAAGCTATGAATGGAAAGGATTTTATCAATTCCAACTCTGGGGAAAAGAGACAGATTATCTTCACCAAAAGCTCAGGTTGGTGTTAATTCTTTAATCTTAATGCAAAAAATGTGAACAGATTTGCTTGTTTATGTAATTCTAATATTGCTTTAAGTTGGTGGGAACCATCCTGAATGAATGAAATTAGAGATCTGTCTTATTGTCTAGGAGGTAGTGGAGGAAAATTAGTAGTTTCTTGAGGTACAAGTGGTCAAGAAATACGTTCTGGCAGTTTATTTTGGTGAAGTGTATGAAAAATTTCTGGTTACTTTGACTTTCTGGTTACTTTTTAGCTGCTAATTTGCTGTGTGTCCCTGGGAGTAGTGGAATATAATTCAGGATGCACTGATGCACCTACAGCAGCCTCGCAGCCATGAGTAAACTTGGCAGCCCTTTAGTCCAAAGGATGGTGCCCTCTCTTTATTTAATATATATCCTGTTATGTAATGTCTGCAGTTCATACTGATGTTTTTATACCAAACTATAAGAATGGGTACATTTGTAAGGTCTGAGTTTTCTGTGTGAAGTATTAAATCGTGTCCGTTACAGCCACAGGAAAAGTCAGAATAATTTGAAGAATATGAACGTGTTTAAATGATAAAGTGTGGGAGAAATTCCATCTGCAGTGCCTGACCTGCCCTCTAGTGTCTGCTTTTATAAAGGATAGGCTTTTAAAAATATTTAATTCCACATAATTTTAATTGCTCTTGGATGTTTAGCAGCCTTGGAATTCTAATAATGTTTAATGAATTTTTATTTTCTGAGGGTGTAAAAGAAAAAAAAAATGGTTTCTGAAATGTCAGGTCATTGGTTTCCGTTTCTGGCAGCAGTTACATTGACCAGCAAGAAGTAAGGGGAGAGAGGGGAAAATAAAGGACAATCCATGAGGAATGCCAGTGGCACAGGAATGAATTTGTGAACACGGCACCCTGAGGGTTCTGGACTTGCAGCACAGTCATTCTTTCAAATCCAGTGCTTGGTAACGCTTTCCAGACAACTATTGGTGGCATTACAAGCAACATTCTCCAAATCTGAAAGGGTCTCATCTGTGAGGATTTAGGATTGCACATACAATTCCTGTGAGCAGAAGGCAGCTCACTGCATTTTCAGACAGGCTCCCCACAGCTATTTACAAGTTGTTGTTCCTAAATTAAACTAAGGATGTTGAGTTTCTGCAGACTTCTCTGTTCATTTCATTGCACCAGAGACTTGGCTTGTGCTTTTTCAAATACCACCCTACAACTTGGGAGAAGATTCAATAGTTGTTAAGAAAGAGAGGTTTTTTTTTTTTTTTTGTAGCAGTAATATAATCCACTGAGAGAAATGGTATCAGAAACAGAGGGATGGGCATTTTCCTACTATAAATATAAAATGGTGCAGGCCATTGTTACTGTTCATAAATGACTTTGCAAAGAATAAAGGGAGGAGAGAGATTCCCTGGGGAAGGTATGTGACAAGTTTAGCTTTTGGCATTTGACAGCTGATTTCTAAACAATACTGCAGGGTGGTGGGATGCTTTCATGTTTCTGAAGGCTGGAGCTCAGAGTCATTTTTCACTTAGAGAAGTAAATGTTGTCAGTACTGAATTGCAGTGCAAGGGATTTACACAAGTAAGAAAGGATTCCTCTTTCAAGATTTCTAAGTGAATTTGAGTGTGAATCCCGAAAGCTGTTGAATACAATTTGAGGTGTTTATGATAGAACTCAAAAATGTGTGTATTTCATCTCTGTACATTATTTTTAAAATACTAGTTTTCATCTCTATTGAGGTACTTCATGCTTCACTCTGTTCCTTTTCCTCTCTCAGAAAATGGAAATTCACCTACCCCAGCAAAAGTCAATAAGGCTCCTTCTGCTACTACGAAGAGACCCATTGCAGACAGCGAGGAGAAGTCAGAGGCGTACAAATCTATTTTTACAACACACAGCTCAGCAAAACGTTCAAAGGAGGAGTGTTCCAATTGGGTTACTCACACAGCTTACTATTTCTGAAACAATGAGCAGCCTGATTGGAACATCCACTGCTGCTTTCCTTCCCCAAGGCTTTTTCTGTGCAACTCCGATACTTCTGTCGTAATCCGATATTATCTGGAATTACTCGGTTTGTAAGTTGTTTATAAACTTGCTAATAACTAATGAACCTGTATTAGTTGCAACTTCTGTTAAAGAAGAAATAGATCTCCAGGATCCATGTTGTAGCAGCAGACCTCATTCTAAAATGTTGGATTTTTTGCACAGAAATTTTTCTTTTCTCCTTCCAGTTGGATGTTGTTGTCCTTAGTCATACTGGCTGTGTCCTCAGGAGGGGGAAGGGGAGAAGTTCCTGCCTGCTCTTCTCCTCTGCTGATTTGTGCCACACCTGTAATTATAGTTTTCAAAGTATTAGTACAGAATTCAAACTTCCTGCAACTTTCTGAGAGCGAAAAGAGCAATAATGCTTTTTTTTTTTTTCTGTGAAGCTAACTGGGCCCTTGGTAGAACTAGTGTATGATCCTAAAAGGCTCTGTAGGTATTTTCAAATCATTTACCTTTTTCACAGAATATATGAGAGCACAGTCATTAAAATGTTTGTGCAGCATTTTTCTTATGCATATCGTTGTAGCCTGTTTTTAGTAGCAGAGTGTAAATCTTATCATTAAAGATGAGCCTGTAAAAGGCTGTTGTTTTCCCAGCGAGATTTTGGGGGTTTCTTCTATGGGTGTGTGGCTTGAAATTGGAAGTATCAAGTGGGAGTTTGCTTCCTTTTGTCAGAGGATCAGGATACAGTGGAACAAAAGTATGAGATTCTTTTCTGCTGAGACACAGAGGTGCCGTGGCCATCTCTGAGGAGCAATTTGCCATTCTGAATTTGCACATTGCTTTATTTTCTGACCTAAAATTCTGAACAGCAAACAGCTCTTTGACTGTTAATTGTTACAGAAAGATGCTCAGCATAGTGTGTCACCTGGTTCTGCTTTCATATTTATGCTTTCATATTTATGCTTTTTATCCCTTTGGCATTGATTTAAATAAAACCTGCTCTTGTCATATGACCATAGCATTCATGTTCAGTTGAACAGATATTTAAGTGCTTTTTTTTTGTCAGTTAGAGCAACTTTTTATGGGCTTTCTTTTAGCCATTTTAGTCTTAGCTTTTTTTCCCCAATGCAGGAGCCCTTTTAAAATATTAATGTTCTGTTGCAGTAATTTAGTGGCTGAATATTAGAATCCAGTAAATTAAATTAATAATAAAATATATAAATAAATCAAATAAATATATGAAATGGCCAGAGGGAGGGATGGAAGTTTTTCACCTTCCTTTCTCCCTCTTTTAAAATTGAAATATGCTTTTATAATCTTGACACCAAGTAACCAGAGTAGAAATGGAGAAATTAGGAGGCTTTTAAAACCCCTGCATCATGTTACCTTGTTCTCTTTGTGTGTGAAAATTATTAATTATCCTCATAATTAATTTTTAAAAGTGTCCCCATTTATAATTGGGTGCTGTGTTGATATTTGCATAGGTGGTCTCTGTGATTCAAGCAAATTGAATGAAACTGCTGGGATTCTATTATTATTTTGATAGGTATAATTAAAAATTGGCTTGTTGTAGAATTTATATAGTGGTAAGAATTTTTGTTTTCCAAAGCTGTGAATGCACATATACATCACATCAAACACTTTGAGGTTTACTGGAGCTCCCAGGAAGCCACATTTTGTATGCATGTCTAGGAATCAGCTTTGTTCTCCCTGTTCTGTATTCTTTTCATTATTATCCTTTATTATTTGTTGCTTACAGATAATGAAATTACTGCACTAACAGGTGTACCACGGTAGGTCCTTTGTTTGCAGTGTAATTGTTTGACAGTCCATGTTAAAGTCCTATTAGTGTTTTAAAAGAGTGTGCTTTTCCTCTAGTTATAGTTCCTAAGGAGAATTAAATTAATGCTTTTCATTTAGCCATTACTTTGCTAAAGAATAGCAAAATATTTAAAATTATTTCTTACTAATACATCAGGAAGAGTCCAGCTTCTGGTAACAGACTTTCCTGCCCGTTGGGCCATGATAGTGACTTCTTTTTTCAGTCTGATTAGCTCAGCTGTTAAAGTAAGTTCATGATTGGCATGATTTGGTTAATGTACAGATTCTTCCTATCCCCTTGGTTTTATTACTTTGTGCTGTGTCACTCTGGGAGGGTTGTGTCCAATATTCCACCATCCTGATGTGGTGGATGGAGTCCTTAAAACGTTCATGGTTTGTAGAAGTGTTGGCAGTGACTGCTGAGGGCTTTTCTTTCCCTTTTCAGAAAACCAGCAGTGAAGGAATGTGATATATTGCTGGCATGTGATGCAATTCCTGGCCACAATTGACTGTTGTTAGTGTAAAACAGAGGAGCCCAAACTGACACTTGTGCTGTTGGCCGGGATCGGCAGCAGGGACTGGAACGTTGACTTGGCAAGTTTTAATGGATTCAAGTGAATAGTTTGCTGGAGGATGTTTGCTTTGTTGTGGTTTGCTTTTTGTTGGGGAGGGCAATTTAATTTTCTTTAATGTAGGTGAATTTGAATGTTGGTGAAAGTTGAAAACTGAGAAGTCTTAGAATCTGAAACCTGTATTTTTTGAGATGCCATACAATTGTCCTGCAGCACTGCATCCATGTGTCTGTTCCAGGGAATTCACAGAACAGTTACTTTTATTTCCATGATGTTCAAGCCTTGGCCTCTCTTCTGAAGAGCTTAAAAAAGGATCCAATTAGTGTCAGTTGTATAATAGGGGGATGTTTTTGTGATGTGGAACCTGCCCACTGGGAACTGGACTGGGAAATTCAGCGACCTCCTTCACTCTACCCAAAGATCAAAGTCTGGTCGTGTAACCTGGCCCAAGTGTGCATGAGTGGAAGGGAGCTGGAAAGCTGTGTATCCTGAGCCACAATCCTGGGATGTGGCTGGCCTGGCTGCACACTTCCAGAGGTTCAGTCCTTTCAATAATGCTGCTTCTGAAGCCAAAAATCTTAGGGTGTTCCCACATCCAGGCCTGGCTATTGATGTTCAGAACTGCAGCTCCATTCCCTGCTCACACCAAATCAGGTGGGATATTTCATGCTGTTTCATGGGATATCAAAAAACTGCCTTGTCCCAAATAATCCATAACATCATCCACAGCCTCAGACCCTGTGGAGCAGCTGTGGTGTCATGCTGCAGGTGACACCTCCCTGTGCTCACCTGTGCTGCGTGTGGATCCCTGAAGGGAACTTGGCATTTTGTCTCCATGGAGAACAGTGAACCTTGCACACCTTGATCCTTTGCACACCTCCTACCCTGGAGCTGACAGAGGTGGGTTTTGGGGTAGATTACTGTCTCTCCAGCCATCTTTTTCCACAAAACCTCTGGAAACAGCTTGTCTTCAAAGAGTTTTATATCTGTGTGAATCTTAATTGAAATTTAACCATGTTTTATAACGTTGCTGGCACAAGGGAGGGTGTAGCAGTCCTGAATCTCTGGAAAGTAAGACCAAAACCCTTCAGAGAAAAATCAGTGCCCCCAGCAGGCATTGGGGAAGGCAGAGCTGAGGAGGAACATGTAGTATCTGTTCTGGAAAGACTGTAATTAGTGACATTCTGCTGATAAAACTCTGTAGTTAGTGAATAGTAAGCTTCAAGGCTCAGGCTTCATTCTGTAATATGTTAACATTTATTTCCCATGCTTTATTTTTTAGGAGTAAATGTAGAACTAACTTCTCCATTAGGGGACTGAAGTTTGGGACTTGTGCAGTGGGAAAATGCACGTGGTTTGCTAAGACAGTATGCTTTGGTCTCCAGCTTCCACACCATGAGATCATCACATGCCAGTCAAATTGACAAAAAAAAAAAAAAAAAGCTGAAAGTTCCCTTTAAAACATGATGCTTGTTAGATGAAAATATTTCTTATTAATGTCCTATTCTTAGCTAAACTGAGGGAACACAGTTGTCTGTGAATGTCCTGCCTTGCTTTGCAGCCCAGACACCAGTTGCAGTTGGTGTATTTTGCTCCAGATTCAGAGCTGTGGTGACCCTGCCAAATAGTTTCTTAGTTGCATTTAAAAATAAAAGGGCTGTTTAGACATTACAATCCACAGAGGGTCTGAAGTCAGTGTGTCCTAAGCTGAATACAAATCACAGACAAAAAGTGTTTTGTTGGGAGGATCACAAATGGAACTGATTACTGCTAGACAGTGTGGATTTCCTTCTGGAGGATGGAGCTGATAGAATTCCTTCCTGACAGCTAGAAATTATAATTGAGTTGGGGTGGGGGGCAGTTTCTGTGTTTCAAACTTTACCAACCTTCAAAATGAGTAAGAGGGATGGAATCCTAGTCCATCTGCAGTTCTGCCTGTAAACCAGGATTTAAAACTAAATATTCATCCAAGTGCCCAGTTCCTGTGGAGGTACTGCTGACAATGTCGTAGCTGTGGTTTTGTCATGCATTTAACTTCATGTGGATTAAAGTATCTCTTACAGGTCAGTGACAGAATTCAATTTACAGATTGACCACAGATCTCATTTGGGGAAGAACCAGTTTCATTATGGCATTGAGTAAAATGGAATGCTCTTTTTTAGATGTTTCCCTACCAAGTCTTTGCTACACGTCCAGCAGAACTCAACCTTTAGGACAGCTCTAAGAGGTTTTCTTAAGGGTGCATTGGTGAAGAACAACCCCTTCCCTTTGCAGAAGTGTTCGTCTCTGACTGCACTAGTACTTTTTCCATGCAGTTTTCCCCTTCTGCCCTCCTGTTTGCCTCCTTCTTTCTGCTGCCTACAGAAATCAGACTATGCTTTGCTCGATAATGGAGGAGGGCAGGGAATAGGGAATGATCAAGGTAATGATGCTCTGGTTTTTCAGCCCTCTTTGCTCTTAGGGGGCTGTCTCTCATGCTTGCCTTCCTCATACAGCCAGGGCCAGGCCACCTCACCCAGCTGAACTTCCTCCATCTTCAGGCTACTGAGTTTGAGGGCAGTTTGAGTCAGGATAGGCCTGGAGTCTTGATCAGGAAGAATTTCTTCACAGAAAGGGTGGTCAGGCATTGCCCAGGGAAGTTTGGAGTCCCCATCCCTGGAGGTGTCCAAGGAACAACTGGATGTGGCACTCAGAGCTCTGGGCTGGGTGACAAGGTGGGGATCAGTCACAAGTTGGACTCCATCGTGTGGGATGTATTTTCCAGCCTTAATGATTCTGTGAAAGGCTGATGAGGCTCTGGAAATCACTGTGTTGTTAGCCTAAAATAGAAACAATTTGACAGTGTTTTCCTAACAGGCATGAATGTCACATTTTTATGCCGTGAGTTACCTCTCTTTTTTAATTAAAAGTAAATTTTTTAATTAAAAGTAATTCCGAGGAATGACTTAGTCCCAGTGATAAGTGGGGGTTTGCCCTGCCTTGGAAGGGCTGTGCTGGACAGGATGGGTGTAGCTTTCTGCAACTTGCCTACAAAGCTGAAGAAATGCAAAACAGCTTATTGCTCAATTATGCTGACTTTAGCAACTAGGTAGGACAAATTAAAAAAAGAAAAAGGGAATATCTAGTCTCAACCTGGGTATTTAATGGGTCCCAAAATGTGCTGAACTCTTTAGTCTAAATGGGCTCTTTAGTGTGGTGTCAAGTAAGTTAAAAAGCCAGGGAGCTTTACAAAGCTGCCTTCATTGTTTAAACTTGTTTCACTCATGTTAAGGCTAATGTACATTTATTCAGACTGACAAAGTGCTGAATTTACACAACAGGGATAGTAATAATTAGGTCAGATACTTTTTAAATGGCAGTAGGGGGGTGGGAATACTTGACTCTTTGATGCTTATGAATGGAAATGATTATTAGAACTGGCCAGGCCAACCACAATTCCTGCATGTGCTCTTCTCACCCCATCGATTCCCTTTCACAGCCAGTGCCCTGTCCCTGCTCCCACCGTCTGCTCCAGCTGCCAGTCAGGCTTTGCAGTACATGTTACTTGTGAGAACATGGTATTCCTAATGTGATTAACTTGTATTTTTAGTGAGCCCTGAACTGTCCTTTGAAGTTGGTCTCCTCA